CACAAATATTTTGTTACTTTCGTATCGAAAGTCGAAATAATTAACCAATTTGAGTCGCAATGATTTCTAAGATGGATTAACTCTCCGCTTACGCGTTAATAACGCGAAATGTATCGCGCGTTAATTGTCCCAAATTGGCCAAAATGGCAATCTTTAAACCCCCGTAACTTTACGAAAATTGATTACAGGTGAAATATCTTTTCAAATTTGAGCTCAGGTCAACAATACCTTTCGAATGATATAAAAACATTCCGTCAAAAATGGATAGTTAAAAAGTCGAAGTTTGTCTGAAGAAAAAAAAAACCAACCCGAGCACAAATATTCCGTTACTTTCGTATCGAAAGTCGCAACAATAACAAAAACAGAACGAAACAGAACAGTACAAAAATAAATATGAGAAAAATAAAAAAATAGACGTGAAAGATTTTGTTGTAATTTGAAAAGTATATATGTTTTCCATCTTAATCAATAATAAAGTAAAATTTAAAGTTTTGCAATTTAAAGAAGCAGCCGCGTAAAAACAAATGTCTTATATTTGCACAATGAATCATTATACATTTTGTCAACTTTTTGCCAGCTGGCACTTTTTTCAGAAAACCGGGCAAATTCCTTTCAAAAAAAATTTTCCGCCCCCTCCCCATCGAGAAAATCCTAGATCCTCCCCTGATCATAATAATAATAAAAATAATTGAGGTAAAAAAACCTTTTTATCAAATTTTCATGCCCTAGATTTGACGCAACCCTGATCTTTTTCTCACCAGTCGGATCAGTTTTTACCTAGGAAAAGCTTTTCCAGGTTGCAGGTACACTTTTTCGTTGTTAATTTTGAAGATTTCAAATAAAAAAATCAAAAACATTCCTGGAAAACATTCCATGCGTTCCTGGAAAACATTCCATTGCAGAAAAATCACGAGAGGAGTTTTTTACGGAATGATGAACGATTTTAGAATGAAACCCCACAAGCCACCCAATTTTCTAACTGGAAACTCGTGGATAAGAGTATTTCATTTTTTTTCCCTCCTTCAAAAATGATCAAAAAACCACAAAAATTCCATTTTTTCATCTGAAAATTATGTTGATATACTATGTATTCATCTTAACCACAGACGACATCAATACAATCAAAAAATATTGATGCTGAATTAGTGATAAAGTAGATAAACTATATGAATTCATAAATTTTAATGAATTCATATACTCCCTCTCTCTCTCTTGAAAAACTAAAGGAGAGCTCTTTGCTTCAATCAAGTAATTGCAGTCTTTTTGGTTTAATTCAGTTGCCATCCGTGCAAGAGGCAGCTAAGATCTATTGCAAATAAATTAAAACAATTGGAATAAGTTCTTGCGTACTTTTTACATTTTTAAAAAGGAGGAGAAAACCCGATCACGCTAGGTTTAAGATACGACAGAGAATTTAAAATATAGCCACCCCCAGCCTAGTTCAAAAAAATAATGATATATGTATCGTCCCTATCGACCATGGTTGCACTTGGTCGACTCTTGTATCGACCCGGTCTGGCTTATTTAATGACTCTGGTTGACCAAAATGATTGGTCTACCTATATCAAATGGGTCAAAAACTGGGCATTTGGTCGATACATAATTCCACTACGACAATTCCGAGAAGAAACGGGTCTTAGAAGGTCAGTCATATGCCAGCACTCAGAAATATGAGCTTTCGTTTGATGAATATTTAAAAAGTCCCGTCTGTCAATATGGAAGTCGATTCTTAGAGAAGAATATGCGCGATTCGGCTATTGTGCTCTTAAACCAAAAGTTGTACAGGATAGAAGTTTTGGATTTGGTTTTTACTTTTAGCATCTCGTTGAAATCATAAATTATCGCATTCGGGCTTCCCTTTGCAAAAATCGAATTATGCTTACTTATTGAGCAATGCTTATTAATTGAAGAACTTATTAATGCTTATTAACTGATTCAGCGTGGTTTCAAGAGTAAAAACTTCTGCGATAGGTTAATTATCAAAGCTATTAATCAGCGATACTTTATCTATCAATCAGTGACGAAGCGGTAGTAAAATGCTACAAAATTATATATTAACAAAATAGGTTCATAAAACATCCAAAAAGCAAAGATTTTCCTATCGCAATAGCCTGTAAAAGTCGTAGCCTTACAGGAATCTCGTTGGAAAATATGGGTTGCGGTTAAATTGAAAATAGTCGCCCCAACTTTTCGCCCCAAACACTCAACTTGTCGCCCCAATTTGAACAGTTTTTGCTTACAAAATTTGATGCTCAGTCTTAAAAACTTTGAAAACAGCAATCGAACACTGAAATCATTGAATTTTAAATTTGCAAGTTTAACAAGCGAATGATCATTCAGGTGCGCAATTTTTTTGTTTTATTGGAAGGGTTGTTTTTGCTGAATAAATTCGGCTCAAACAGTTCTCCAAATTGACAGAAGACATGCTAAGTAGACCAAATACTATCTCGCACTGCGTGAGGCAAAAATTTGTATTCATATTCTAATTCCCATGGGATTAGATAAATAAAAAACAATCAGAATTTTTTACATCTTTTTCAAAAAATGTATTTAGTATACCGAAAAGAAAAGGTCTAATTTTTTATGAACAAACAGACCACTCAGTGTTTTACAAGAAGTCTTTTTAGTTAAAAAATTGCAGCCATGGGACATGCGTTCAAAATTAGTGATTCTACTTGTTAAAATTTTCCATTTCTACATCAATTGAACAATTTAAACAAAACCGTTTGGTGATTTTGCAAGCAAATCGTATTTAACTATAATCAACAGTTTTTTTATTAAAGGTCCTCAAGCATGCTAAAAAAATTTTACAAAAAACTTTCCGCATTTTCTGCATATTATGAAGAAACTGGATATCTAAAAATATGACGAAACGAAGTTCAGTCAAATTTTTCACTGCACCCAAACTGTATCAATTTAAACAAAATATTACCAAATCTCTGTCAGATACCTCCAAGATAACTTTAAAATACCAAACTTTGGCTGGTTAGTAATCCGTAATTCTGCAAACGGTGCCCACAGTTGAGCCTAAACTTAAGACATCATGACAGTACGAGTATTCAAAAAATCAACAATAATTCATACTTAATTTTTAAAATTACTTGATTATTTTTTTAATGATATCTGAAACTTCTTGGCAATTATACTTCTTTTTAAAAAATAGACAGTCGGAAAAACTATTAACAGAGTAGAAATTTCAAAAACCGAGCCTCATGTATCAAGGAAAAAATATAAAAATTTTTAAAAAAACTGATTTAGAGTTTAGATTAAAATATCTGTTTATAACTTCTTAAACCCAAAACTTCCAGTTAGAAAATAAGCAATATATCTACAATTTTTCCAGTACCTGACTAAAATTTTCTCTAAAAGTCTCTTAAGTTCTTATCATTATAAGTAGAAATATTTATCGAAAGATTGTTAGGCAGGTTTCTTGAAGTTTCAATTTATCGAAATTTTTTTTGTGGACAAAAAAGGATGTTCAATTCACAACAACGATCAATGTATTGTTAAAGTCGTAAGCTTGGAAATTCGAAAAGGTTGTTAATAAGTTTTATTGTAGGCAAACTGTTAGGCATCAAATCGAAATCTTACTGCGCTCTTTTATTTCAGATCCCATCGGACATTAGAGATCGCAAGGTCAAGACAGCAGGTCCCCAGACAGAAAGAAGAATTGATAGCACTTACATAAACTCAAACTGGTGTCTATCTAGAAGAATTGATAGCACTTACATAAACTCAAAACTGGTCCCTATCTCATTCGGGCAACCACAAATAAATTTTAGCGTAGATAAAATTTATCAACTTTATGTTACTGTTTTGTATTGTATAAATGTACTAGTTAAGTTTTTAGTTTTCGTTGAGTTTTCTCACCCGCCAAACCTCTCTTAAGGTTTACTTTTCTCCTTTTTCTCTCCTTGTCGATTCCCTCATTTATGTTCTATGCGGTGGATCATAACCCCCCCCCCCCATTTTTTCAACTCCGCGTCTCTGCCGTGTTGATTTTCGCGTCGCCGTTTCGTACTTATTTTTATTGCGTTTTCCACCGACGGATCGTGGTGAGTTCACACTAACCGACGGTACATCCTGTCCTTCGTTCGCCGCACCTATGGTTGGTTCCCTTCATCCGATTTCCCACTCACTATCGTAGTCGTCGTTGTCGTCCTCGCTCTCGTCCGCCGAGTATTCCACTATTCGCTGTTTTGTTGATTTTCTTGCATTTTCCATTGCGGTTCGGTCCTTCTCCGCTTTTCGCTTATTTTTTTTTGAATCGCTTGGGGCCGGTGTACTAGTTACGTTTCTACTCTGTCCAGGGGTGCACTCCTCGCTTCTATTCCCAATTAGGCTTTCTTCAGCCGCCGATCTAAAAGACACACCACTCCGTCTTAGTAACGACCCTTTTTCAATTTGCACCGTATGTTTAGTCATTTTTTCAATTTTTAATGACAAACGTTTATACCTCCTTGGGTCCTTTGGATCCGTCTTCCCGGTCCTCTGATACACCGTCGTTGAACTTGTTTTATGCTTTTTCAGTCATGTTGGGGTCTTGGGTGGGCCTAGTTCCTTGGGGTCCACAACTTCCGGAGCCTTGGGATCCGTTACCACGTCATCGTCCAAAATGATTGGAGCTTTCCTATTTTGCGGGGCGTACACTAAGTCACTTCTCTTCTCCCAATCTAGGGTAAGTTCAACTTCTGGGAGGTTTCCCGCCTTGTCTAAACAAGATAACTTTTGATTAACGACATTATTCCAATTTAGGTTTTTCAATGACGGCTTTTTCGTTAAATTTCGCAGTGCCGTATTTGCTTCTCGACCATGGTATGCTTCGAACGGCGTTAGTTTAGTTTTAGAGTGTGGCACGAAACGTAATGCACTAAGCGCACGGGATATCATCTCCCCAAACTTGTAGTTTTTATTTTCCTGGAGATAAGTCAACACGTAATTTTTTATCGACCCAATAGTCCGTTCAACCATTCCTGTTGCGCGATGGTCCCTAACCGGAGATTTAATAAGTTCGATACCTTCGTAGTTACAGAAATTTTGAATTTCGTTAGAGAAAAACCCCGTGGCTTGATCCATGTGCAATTTCCTTGGGTGTCCATGAGTATTTATGTAATTCCTTAGGAATTTCAATACACTTTTTGATTTGTTGCTTGAACAAACATACGCCGACGGCCAATGCTAGAAAGTATCTACTGCTACAAGTACATATTTTTTTCGACCCCTAACATAGTTTACTGACCCCAGAAGTCTAATTGGAGCAAATCATTTGGTTCCTTAGGATCATACGTTTCCCCCATGTCATTCGGCATGTCTGGTTTAAGGTTTTTACCTGCTTCTAAGCAACGTTTGCAGTATTTGGCTGTGGCCGCGATATTTCGGTGCATAAGGGGAATCCACACGTCCTTTGCGGCCGCGAACATCTTATCCCTCCCATGATGGTTATAATGGAGACGATTCAGAATTGCTGATGATAGGTCCTTCGGTATTGCTAACCGGCCGTCCATCCACAGGCAATTCTCCCGTACTGCGAAATCGTTGTAATGCTGGGCGTAATATTGTCCTAATCTTGTAATAATCTCCTTTGCTCGTGGGTTGCTGTCTCTGATGTTGTCTCGGATGGTCTTCATAACGCGATCCGGTAAATTTCCTCCGGTAACTTAGTTGATCGTGATAATTCTCGTTGGCAATCCGATTCCCGCATATTCATAATGAAAATATCACGAATGTTTTCGGCCGCGTTTGCAAAATCACATCTTCCTGCTAGGGCGCTTAGCTCCGCATGAAATTTTTCGAAAGTTTCGTTCTCACGTTGTTTTCGTCCGTAGAATAGTCCCTGCTCATGAGTTACATTCCTCTCACGTTGGAAAAAATTTTGCATCTCATCCAGGACCCGTGGGTAACCGTTCCGTTTTAATGTTAACCGTCGATTTCCGTGCTTTGAATATGCGTTGCGCCTCATCTCCGATACAAAGATACAAGTTAGACTTTAACTTCTTTTCCGAATCGAGACGGTTTTTTCCATTGACTTCTTCAGGCAACGCCGTGATAGCCGCCGCATTTAGAGTACTCGCAAAATAGAAATCATCGGGATCAATGTCGTATTTTGGTATCATCCCCCAGTGAAATTTAATTATCCACTCCTCCCAATATACTGGAGTTTCCGGCGTTCGTGTTTCCCAAAATGCTACTATATTCTCTGCTGGCTGCGCCATGTTAAAGTCGTAAGCTTGGAAATTCAAAAGGTTGTTAATAAAATTTATTGTAGGCAAACTGTTAGGCATCAAATCGAAATCTTACTGCGCTCTTTTATTTCAGATCCCATCGGACATTAGAGATCGAAAGTTAGAGGACAAAGGTCAAGACAGCAGGTCCCCAGACAGAAAGAAGAATTGATAGCACTTACATAAACTCAAACTGGTGTCTCTCTAGAAGAATTGATAGCACTTACATAAACTCAAAACTGGTCCCTATCTCAGTATTGGAGATAGTTTTTGCGTTAAAACAGGTTAACGCCAGAAAAACGTAATTTTAAAAACAAAAATGAAAAATTTTCATCTTTTAACAATGCTTAGACCAAACAGCCTGCCGCAATCTTAATTGGACTGATTTTTTTTTTGAAACAAGACTACTCGTATCAGGGCGAAACCTTGAATGAATGCTCTAACTGCCCTTTAAAGTCTATGGAGCAGTAGTAACATGAAAAATTTGAATGTAATAAAAAGCGTTTTTTTTTAATTTGAGGTTTTTGTAAAAATTATCCCCGCACACGCCATATAAAGAACAAAGTGAAAATTTTGCTCCTATTATCAAATCAGTTATGGCAAATAAGCTTCCTTCAACCAACTTGGAACGTTTTCTAAGACGGATTAATGCTCCGCTTACGCGTTGAAAGCGCAAAATATGTCGCGCGTTAACTGTCCCCATATTGGCCGAAATGGTTATCTTGAAACCACCATAACTTCACAAAAAATAAAAAAATTATGAAATATAAGCTCAAGACAACAATACCTTTTGAATGATACTAAAAAATGTGTCAAAAATGGCTTGTTAAAAAGTCAAAATTTGCCTGAAGAAAAAAAAATACCCCGAGCACAAACATTCCGTTCCTTTCGTTATGAAAGTCGGAACAATAGTTCACCACCTAAGCGTAAAAAGAACGAAATACCAGGAGCGTTGAATATTTCAAAGTGGCAAAGCTGTTTTTTTTAAGCCTTGATCAATTACAAAGAATACCGGTTGAAAGTTTTTTTTAAATTTGACCAGACCGGCTTCGGCTAATTCACAAACACTTTTGACTCGTTTTTCAGCCGTGAAATTACTTTGTATTTGTGTCGATGGTGACTGATGAAAAGTTTTAAGGTTAATCAAGCAAGAATGGATGTTTTTAACGGCGATGGTGTTGGGTTCTGGAAAGAAGAAAGGACATTGTCAGCCCAACACACACTCCTAAACTCCGCTACTGATTACTAGCGATAGTGCTGGTAAAACCAATGACCTTAACAAAAGTCACCTGAACAAATCGTACCCTCATGTTTGAGCTACACCAGCATCAGAATTTCTCGCATAAAAGAAAAACGAACAAAAAGTTGCAGTTTTTACTTAGGTTTTATTTCAAAAACGTCTCCAAAAGTTTGCCCTAAAATCTGGCTCGGCCTATTTCAATGCCCAGCTTATAAACGAGGGCCAATAAGGATTTCGGGACAATGAGATCACATTTCAATACTCGAAAAACCGTTTTAAAGCTAAAAATCAGGCCTAATATCCCAAGGACAATGTGATGACAAAAACGGTTCACAATTGTAAGTTTGTTCACCATGCCAAAATTCATTGCATTATGACAAAGTTTTCGAATTAAAAGGTGGAGAAAAGTGGAAAAGAGACAGCTTTTATCAGCGCGTTTCAAACGAGGAAAAAATTTTTTATCCAAATGTTTTGTCGTCTAAATTTCTAGTCATCCTAATCACTTCTGTGGTCTTATTGACCAGTAGCATCACTAAGTTTTTTTTGCATTTTCGCGATACCTTGTAATTTTTTTCCGATCGGAAAAAGAAAAATTATTTTGTCAATTCTTAATTTATATCATGATATTGTCTAATAATTAAATATTAAATTTATAAATTGATCACATTAAATTCTCTTTGAAACAGAATCCACTCCGTAAGTTATTAATGTAACGTTTTTTGGTAACAATTCATACTCTGGAAATATTACACAGCAAGAGTGTAAAATAAAATGGTTGAAACTTTGGCTCATGGGCTGCAAAAATAGTTTCAGTTTCATCTTTGTAACTACACGCTCTCATAACAGAAGGTATTTTTACTGCACTATTTCTCAGAGTTATTAATTGATGGTGGTCCATTTACAAAATAAATTGCACATATACTTTTGAGTGTTGAGGGTATATAGGATGTAAATAAAACAAACAATTAACTGATGTCATTAAAACTTCTCAAAATTCCACCAATTGGGTTTTACCCAAAAAATTGACGCTCGGAGGGGGAATGGATAAATTTAAAGTTGACATTTAAATTTGGTAAAATTCGTTAGCACCTTGAGTTAAATGAACGTAAGTGATACAAAAACAAAATATCGAAAAATAAATATACATACGAAATATGTGACAGATTACAACATGAAAAGGGTAAATAGTAATCAGATAAAAATGGGCAAGTTCATTTTGCATGTGTTAATTAACATAATTAAGTCTGGAATGGTAAGTTCCTTTTTTTCAAAACCATCCACTGATTAGCAAATTTGATACTGCTGAATCGTTATTTCATTAGCTTATATGGTATCTACTACTGATAGCCGTTAAACGCAGCTAATAGCGCCTGCGAGTTGTCCGTCGTGAAAATATTGCCGTTTGAGGGGGTTCCTTGCAGACTTTGCTGGGCTAGCTGGTTAAACAAGATCCCATTTTGGTACATCTCAAAAATGTTTCCGGCACCCATGCCCGGCTGGAACCCTGCAACTGCGGCCGGGGGTGTGTGGGCCAGCTGTTTGCTGGAAGGAATCGCAATAGCCTGCGATGTCTGGGATGTCATGGCTAGCTGTTGGGGGTTCGCAGCTGTCATCATTGCAATCTCTGTCAGTTTCTGCTGATGATGTTGCTGCTGACTCATTCCGGCAGGTGTGATTGCACGTGTAGTGTCTGCGGGGTACAAAAAGTGGTTTTGGGGGATTGCAAGACCTGGACTCTGAAGTGCTTTTTTGCTCGGTGGGCTGCTTAAACAAGATAGGTTGCTTAGCGAGGGGGAGGGGGCCGCACCGGCATGGTTTCCAAGACTGGACAGTAGCATTGGGTAGTAATTTGGGTTCATGGTAGCGAGACCGAGAGGATTCAAAGCTGCGCCGAACTGTTGAAAGCTGTTCATAATTGCGTTCGGATAGCTCATTCCGGCAGCTGTCGGGTTATAGCTCATGAGACTCTGTTGCGTCCGAACAAAAAGGGGGAACGGGTCAATTAAACCCGAATTTGGGTTCGGCTTCTGGGCGGCCATTTGACTCATGACCTCTTTCGGCTGTGCCTTTTTCGCCTCACACATTTTACCCTTGATTTCGTGGTAGTGTTCTCGACACGCGTCATCCGCCGACTCTTCTTTCGTGAACTTGACGAATGCAAACCCACGGAGTCGCTGGGTGTTTTTGTCGTACATGAGCATAACTTCTTCTATTTCTCCGTATTGGCCGAAGTAAGCTCGGATGTCGTCTTCGTGTGTGTCCGGCGGCAGGCCTCCGAGAAACACTTTTTTTGTTTTGCTCACAACTTTGGACTGGTGTTTGGGCACTGCTCGTTTCGGGTCCACTTTCTTGCCGTCAATCAAATGGGGGTGATTTGAGTCCACCACGCGATCAACTGCGTCTGCGTCGGCAAACTTAATGAAACCGAAACCTCGTGATTTTTTACTAGTGGAGTCTTGCATAATGCAGCACTCGAGAACTTCGCCGAACTTGGAAAAATATTCCTTCATGCGTTCCTCAGTGGTGCTCCAACTGAGTCCGCCCACAAACATTTTTCCAGGGTCGTTGTTGTCGCCATCCAGGGCAGCGTTGCTAGAACCGATTGTCGCACTTTCTGCCCGCGAAACGAGTTGCATCATACTGTACTGAATAGACTGTCGATGTTCTGTCGTCGCAGTTGTTGTGATTCAAACTGACCGCTTCGATTTCACTGGTAAATACTGAGTAATATTTTGACTGTGTGATGCGCTTGTCAGGAAAACTTCTACCTAAATAGAGAAAATTGGGCTTGAAAAAGGAATAAAAGAAAGGAAATTTGAAGCACGGCTTTCTAATGAGGGATCTAACCTATACATAATTATACAAATGCGCCTAAAGCTGATAAGGCTATTTAGTGTCCTATGGAAAATGGGAAAATTTGAATGGGGGAGGGGGTGTGTAGCAATTTGGACGCATGTCAACTTAACTCACATCTTATCGCATTTAGCTGTAACTCAACAGGGGGTAGTGAAAGAAAGGCTCTACAATTAGATTGGGCAAATGTATAAAAGCGCTTCCGGGTGAATGTCAGGGCTAATTTGAACAGACAAGTCGAGAGTACTTTCCCCCTGTTCTTTCAATTTGGCTAATCAGCCACGAAATAAAGTTCCGGCTCTGTTCTGCCATTATTCCATATACCTTAAATTCCATTTACCCCAATTTTTGTACCCTAATGGAACGAAGGAAGGCATTAGTTCTCTGAAAACCAGCGTGGGGTTCCCAATTAGACACTATCTTTTAACACCGTTAGTTCTAAATAGAAGCGCTTTAATGTTACTAATGCTAAAAAATCAAGCTCACGAACGAAAAAAATAACGTTTTTTTAGTCTGTTCTTCTGAAATATTTCATGCGTTTTTTAGTTTCCATTTTCAAAATCACACTTTTTCAAAACAAGTCGATTTTTTTCGTTCCATAAAACTCCTAGTGGTATTTAAGGATAATCTGTTACAAAATTTGCTTAGAGTGGATGAAATTGAGTTCCATTTTATATTTATTCTTCATTTAACAGCTTGATATTTTGGGTCCCTATTCCAAACATATTAATCAATTCAAAATTCAAAAATCCAAGTGGAAATGTAATTTATATTCTGCAAGCTAACCATTTCACCTTCGAAAGAAAAAGTTACGAAAAATGGGAGTTCTTTTTTGAATTTGTTTTTGATTTTTTTGTTTGACGTCTGAATATTTTTTTTCGGAACAACCGGCTGCCCATAAAAAAATTTAAGGTAGCGGTATCAAAAAACATGAGCAAATCATTACCCAGAAAAATTTGAAGGGGCAATTTTAGAATTTGGAAAGCCTTTAAGAGCATTTTAATTAAGTTTTAAGGTAGTTTCGCTCTAAATCAAGTTAGGCCAATCTAAGTTAAGAAGCGGGATCGTTTCAAATACTTTTGACAATCATAATTGAAAAAGAAACCTCAAACTCTTTCTCTAAACACGCTATTGCACCCAAATTACACTTAGGCTCGTATTGTGTTAAAATGAAATTAACTGGGAATTGAACCATTCAATTTAGAAACTAATTTTCGCTAATTCAAACAAGTTGGCATCGGAAAAAATTTAAATATTCAATATTGACTGCTAAATATTACGATCTAAAAACTGAAATGGTCACGCATGTTATGTACAGTTAACAAATTACAGGCTAAAATTCGAAAACTAACCACGACATTTAAATTATCTAACTGTCTGTAATTTTGAATTAATCTAAAGGCAATTTTAGGACAATGTTAGCTCTAAAAAAATTATTGAGGTGGTAACTATCAGAGCAGATCACTTCATAGTAGGCGCCATTTTCGGATGGGGAGGGGGGTTCAAACAGTGCAATTTGATTGGCTAAGAGCTGGCCAATTCTGATTGGCAAAATACGGGTGATGCTATTGGGTAACATAATTGGCTATACATCTAAGCTGTTACACGACATTAGTCTAAGACCCAAACTTCAAATGATATTTAGTTGGAGTATAAGCAGCTACCATATCAGTGCTAATGGAACGACCCTCTAGAAATTTACCCGCCATTGCGAATATCCACAACTTAAAAGATTTTCGCTAGTTCGTTGGTCCAAGTATTTCTGCTGTTTCTTTCCTGTAAAACGTACAAGCAATAAACTATTACATCACTAGAAAATTTCAAATAATGAGCTAAAACGAAGGCTGTTTTGAGGTTTTTAGCGGCTACTTTGAGCTGATTAGGAGAGGGGGCGTTCACCGCCCAACCTTTTTTTCTTTTTTAACAACAAAGGCGGCAATGGGTGGAGAGTCTAAGAGGTATCTATCAAAGCCCTCAGATGTCACATATTCAAATAGTTTCTCGGCTAAGAAGTTTTGTCAGTTTCATTAAATTTCAGGATTAATCTTTATTCTATATTTTGAAAATAGTATTGTCGGCATTTTGAGCAGCTTAATCAACAAAAATTAAGAAATTTCCGCAGCGTTATTGAATATTTTAAAAAACAAAAATTCGGCTAATTTTGAAAGAAAACACCAATTTGAGGTCAATTTTATTCAGTCTTTCATTCTGCCAATCCTTGTTGCAAAGTTTTCCACAAAAACATAAATGAATAATTCATTCGAGATTTTCGTGCCATGCAAACAGTTCAAATGGCACCTGCAAGCCAAAAACAAACCAAATCCAAGCATTAGAATATATACGTTAGCCATAGCCGCTTGATTTTAATTACCATTTGAGCTAAGACCTGCCAAAAACAAGATTTGTTTTGCAGTGATGACCATTTTGCATTAATTCTTCATAAAAAAGCAACGCTCGACAACGCACACCATAAGCTTTTTTCTTTGAAACCAAGAGAAACATCATAGTTGATTCTGTTAAACTTGAACATTTTTAATCGACTCTAAATTGATAGACGAAAACTGCAAAATGGTCAAAGACGAAAAAATTGAAGAACTGATGGCGGAAGTTGAGGAGCAAGTAGAAGACCTCAAGAGTTCTTCGGGAGGACTCGCGTTCGAGTTGGTTCTTGAGGCTCCCAAGACAGTGGAACCACCCGAAGTTTTGACGAACCGAAGTGAGAGCACCAGTCCGAGAGACAAAACCGATATCGAAATGAAAATCGCTCGAGCCGAAGAGCGACGAAAGGAATTCCTGGACTCGAAATTGGAGTCGGTTCGCGTGAGCGAAGGGCGCCGATCTGAGGTGTTGACGAAACAAAAAGAGGAAGAAGAAAAATTTATTGAACAGACTAAGAAAAAGATCGAAAGCGACTTCGAGGTGGTTGAGGCGAACAAGGAAGCCCAGAGAAAACTATTCGAGGAAACTTGCCAACAACGAGAGGCTAGAATTGAACAAGCCTTAAAGCGAGCTGCCAATAACCCTGTGGTGCAACCATAGAACCACGAATCGACACCAAGACGGGGTTTTCTTAAACTGAGTTGTTTCTCATGGTGTATATCATTTTCTAATATACATTTATAAGTTGTGCATAATAGAATATATTTACTACTTACCGAATTGAATCTTCTGGCTTTGACAAGTTTGACCTTTTGTAATGTGAAAGCACTTCCGCGCTGATAGAATTGGTAGATTTTTGGGTACGAAGAAAAGAAAAATGGGCTTTTAAAATTTGAAATTATGGTCGTCGTCTTGTCTTGAGAGTGACGTCGATAGCTTTAAAAGGGGAGCTGCGAGTAGATAAATGAGCTTTTAGTGAAATCAGCAATAGAGCTAATGGCAGGGAAAAGAGGTAGAGCGATATGGCTTTTAGTGAAAAAATAATGGAGCGCTTAATCTTTTGTAAATTCCTATTGATTACTGCAGAACTGGCGGCAACAATGTACAGATTACGCTTTTTCAGACCCGGCAAATCGGCTTCACCTGTTGGAGCGAAATGCGCACATTTAAATTCGATTGTAACAAAAGTCTTGAAGTTATATTGATTTTATATTAATCCGCGCCGGTCGTAAAGCGCATTTTGGCTTTATGTTCGGATTTGCTGCGTGACAGCCGCAGGTGGTAGCAGAGGTTAAACCTATCAGAAATATTGTTTTTTTTCTAAATTAACTAATTTTGAGAGCAGGACCGTTGAAAAGAGCAGTTGATAACCATGCTTTTATGGAAAATTGTCATGTTAAATCTGACGCCAGATATGTCAATAGTAGACATATTTTATAGGCTTAGTCTATCTAAAATCATGACATTTGTGATGCATCAAAACAGATTAAAATTAAACCTAAGCATCGTCAAGTGAGGACCTAAGATCTTTGCTACGGTTGAAGTCGCACATTGTTCCAACCACTTCAAGAACTAGAAGGAACACGAACAATTTATTCGCTAAACATAGCTTTTTCTCACTTTTACTGCCAACAAAGCAGTACTGAGCGTGATTCAGATTCCAACACTTAAATTTGGAAGTATCGAGAAAAACCTGTCAGCGTTTTTTTCAATCTCATTTAAACACTTTATCAGAGGCTCACCAACATATATGCACTTCTATTTAAACTATTTTAATCACAATCATAAATCATTCTTGGATTTCTATTCTAGTATCTTTCGGAACGTCTCTGCTTAAATCAGTGAACTTGAAACACTATAATCTATGTGCAGTAACCGTCCATGGTTGATGAACTTGGTAACTATTGTTGAAAAACTTGTATTGTGGATTATCAAACACTAGACTTCTCAAGTAATCAACACGAGCAAAACCAGCAAATTACGGCTGCCAGTTGTCTAAAATGATTGGATAGCCGAAAATTTCGAGGAAAGTCAATTAAATACAAGGCCAAACTGTTTTTTTTTGTGCGCTGTAAGGGGATCTCGCAACCAGCCGAAAACAGATTTGTCGCAGAACCTTCATCATAGCTTAATCTTTTTTTGCTTCTTAGCGCTTCTGAATTTTACTGTTTTGAATTCGAATAGCTAAAACTCTGTACCGCTCGAAGTCGCTTAGTGAACAGGCAACAAAGTTTGGGGATGCCGCAAAAAAATTGCGGAAACTCGAACAGTTTAGAGTTTAGGTTGCCTACCGAAAAATAATAATATATGGGTATAGAAAAAATAAGTTGTCGCAGAAACCACAGCTGTAAGCGGAACTGCAAAAAGTAAGCAAAATCCGCAAAACGTAAATAGATTCCGCAAACTGTAGATGAATTTTGCAAAGTAAAAACAGAAACAGCAAATGTTAAAGAACCTGCTTAAATGTGCGAAATTTGCATGCAATTTGCTGAATCTGCTTGCATTGTCGGAATCCGGAAGAAAATTTTTGTCTCGACAATGTTTACACGTATTTGAGAGCGGAATCTACTCTTAGCTATTATTTGAATTTGCGCAAAATAAATATTGGGTCAATTAAATGAACAATGCAAGGATCATAATAAAATGCATAACTCTTTTTTACTTTTGAGGCGTCAAAGTCATGTAGATGTTTGGAAAATTCTTCGTGAAACATAACTGCTTGCAAAAACTAAACACTTCCTAGTTCGAGGTATTCCGTCATTGTCTTCAATTTTTGACGCGCAATTAGAAAGTAAAGTTTTTGCTTAAAGTTTTTATTTTAGGGTGAATATAAGAATATTCCGACGGTCTTCTGAGGTCTGATAACAGTTATTGCCAAACATGTTGTAGGCGCAAAAGGAAAACACATTTTTTCATTTAAGCGAAATCCGCCTCACGCATTTTTAGATACAATGTGATGTTTTATTTTGAGCGGGTTATTGTTAAACTGACGCAAGTAGCATGCCTCATTGCATTTTGGATTAAGTTCTATTCTTAATTAACTTGCTACTTGTGCTACCATTTGAAAAACTGCACTTATGAACTATCACAAACTGGCCAAATTGGCATTTTTCAAGTCTCGATAACTCATCAAAAATGCTCGCAGGTACAAAAATGATTTCCATTTAGGGCTCAAGGCATCAATAGTTTTCAGATTATGAATAAAGTTTCTGTAAAAAATGGCTTGTTGGAAAAAAGTAGAAAAGTCTTTGAAAAAAAATCCACACTCATGACAATTATTCATAAAATTTTCCAAAATCACCAAAACTTTTTATTTATATCACTGTAAGCGATGAATACTCGTATGTTTAAGTTCCACTTTCTATAATAAGATATAAAAGTAAGGCTGTAAAAACCAGCGGGGAGGGGCTAGGATTTTTTCCAGAAGGAGAGTGAATTCTTAAAAAGGTTCAAAAATGTGTCGTGTCCTTTGGTTTGATCAAATCAATAAATTGATTCTCATAAAGCACTAATTATACCGCATGTCACGGAACTCGATATATTTAGCGCTCTAAACGCGTAAGCGGAGATTTAGTTCGTCTTAAAAATTGTTCCATGGGAGCGAAATTTATCACTTTGTACTTTATATGGCGTGTGGGGGGGGGGGGGGGGGGGAATCTCAAATTTAATTCTTTTTTTTTCATCATTTTTATTTACTACATTTAATTTTTTTCATGTTATTACTGCGCCAAAGACATTAAGCAGCAGTCGGAACATTCAGGGTTTCGCCCTGATACGAGCAGTCTTGTTTTTTTAATGGCTTGCCGTTGCAGACCGTCATCATAACTGTAAAAGACAAGAATTTGAGAAAATTAAGAATATAAACTTATAATTCTTGGATTTCTTGTTATCCTGGTACTTCTAACAAATTTTCATTTACTAAATTTCATAAGACGCAACGAATTGATTGATCAGATTTAGATTTGCTATACGAGCATGCAAACAAACATTTGCTGATACTTCTAAAACGTTTTAGTGATTGTTCTTTTTATTTGGAATTCACCCCACCCTCAAACTTTTCATCTTCATGCGTTGATAACTGGTTGAATTTAAAAAAAAACATTTGCATTTCTCTAACAGGTCAGAAATTTTTTATTCCCGAATGTAAAAACGGAGTACTTTAGCTCGGTAGTTTCTTGACATTTTGTTGCACGAGACAGCCTTTAAGATTGAACCAAAATTTTTGACGTATTCCTTGTGTGCCGTGTTATTGTTCCGACTTTCGATACGAAAGTAACGGATTATTTGTGCTCGGGGTGGGTTTTTTTTTCTTCAGACAAATTTTGACTTTTTAACTAGCAATTTTTGACGGAATTTTTTTTATCATTCAAAAGGTATTGTTGTCCTGAGCTTAAATTTGAAAAGATATTTCACCTGTGATCATTTTTCGTAAAGTTATGAGGATATAAAGATTGCCATTTTGGCCATTTTGACCAATTTGGGACAATTAACGCGCGATATAATTCGCGCTATTAACGCGTAAGCGGAGATTTAATCCGTCTTATAAATCGTTCCAAATTGGTTCAACGAAGCTTATTTGCCATAATTGATGTGTTACAAGGAACGAAAACTATCTTTTTGTACTTTATATGGCGTGTGGGGGATGATTTTCATAAAAAATTTCAAATTTTAGAAAAATTTTTTTTCATTTTATTTTATTTCATATAATGTTTTTATGTTATTACTGCTGCTCCATAAACCTTCAAAAGCAGTCGGAACATTCAGGGCTTCGCCCTGATACGAGCAGTCTTGTTTGACTATTAATACACTTCTTGTGCCTAAAACTAAACAAGACTGCTCGTAACAGGGCGAAGCCCTGAATGTTCCGACTGCCTTTTAAGGTTTATGGAGCAGTAATAACAAAAAAATTCATCGAAATAAAAAAAATGAAAAGTTTTTTTTTCTGAAATTTGAAATTTTTTATGAAAATCATCCCCCCACACGCCATTTTAAGTATTAAAAGATAGATTCCGCTCCTTGTAAAAAACCAATTATGGCAAATAAGCTTCTTTTAGCCAATTTGGAACGATTTTTAAGACGGATTAACTCTCCGCTTACGCGTTAATAGCGCGAAATATATCGCGCGTTAATTGTCCCAAATTGGCCGAAATTGCAATCTTTAAACCCATGTAACTTTACGAAAAATGATCACAGGTGAAATATCTTTTCAAATTTGAGCTCAGGACATCAAAACCTTTCGAAGGATATAAAAAAATTCCGTCAAAAATGGCTAGTTAAAAAGTCGAAATTTGTCTGAAGAGAAAAAAACTCACCCCGAGCACAAATATTCCGTTACTTTTGTATCGAAAGTCGGAACAAAAACCAATATTCCATCTGCAATATGATTTTTTAAAGAATTTGCGTAAAATAATTTTAACTAAATACAATTAACCCTTTTCTTCTACGCGGCGAAGTGACCTGGCTCAAAAATCTTTTTGTAATTTTGTATATGAGATTGCGCGAATGAGAGGAGTAGAAGGAACAAAAACGTTGTCATTTTGAGATAGCGTGAGGGAGCAGAATTAGCAAAAAAAAACATCCTTTGTACAAAAAAAAAACTTTAAACGCCGATGCAGCGACTTCTTGTATTCAACTGAGGAAAATAACGTTTTATTTTCAGTTTCTGTCGTTTTTTCTGCAATTAATAAAAATGAAGAGCTCAAGTTTGAAAAAAAAATTGTGAAATCTTTTTTAAAAATCCAACCGACTGTTTACTCGAAAGCCTTAAATGCCTACTCATCAAAAATTCATCAGATGATTTTTGGTAAAGCAAATTAGTTTTTTTTTCAATGACTGTAGGTTGAACATTGCAGTTAGGGAATCTTGCGTGAGTGGGCAATCTCACACGCTAATCTTGCGTCTGAAGCAAGAGTAGCAAAAAAAATCAATTTTTTGTTTGGAAGTTTTATTGTATTTTTTTTAAATCACAAACTGTTTTACACAACGATGCAGCAACATCTTGTTTTTAACCGTGGAAAGAAACGTTTTTTCTTTCAGTTTACGTCATTTTTCTGCAACCAACTAGGATGAAGAACTCAAGTTTGAAAGAAGGTTTATGAAATATTTTTAAAAATCCAACGGTTTATTTTAAGGCCTTAAGTGTCTACTCATCAAAATTTCATTAGATGACTTTGTTGAAGCATATTTTTTCAATGACCATAAGTCTAGTGTTGTATAGTTGATTTTACTGTTGTCGGTGTAATTTTTTTCAAGTAATTGTGTGTTTTACTTCATTTTGATGATTTAGTGGTTAAAATTTTTTTGAAATCCTACGATTGTATTATATTTGTGTATATATACTATTTCATAAATTATTTTATATAAGTATAAATATCGTAAGGGAGAAGATTTGACTTACTATTTTAACTTGTTCCCAGATTGAGTAATCAGTATGCAGCTCTTTTTTAGCTGGGGTTATATAATGTGGTCTCTAATTTAAGAAATGAATTTAAATTCAGATTCAAAATTGGAGGAGCGAAAGAAGGCGCATGGAATTAACTGGGAATCGAATGACGGAAGAAGAGTAGGTATGTTCTACCTAGGATGCCCACATAAAACCCACCACTAAGTGTGAGACAGTGGAGAATACGCAGTAAAGCATGGCTTACTAGAGGAAGGAAGAGAGTTGAAGACGAGAGGTGAGGGGATAGGAAAGCAGAAGAGTTGGGGAGGAGGGGAGGGGGGAATGGAGGTCCTGTGGGAAAAGTGTTCAATAAACGAAATTAGAGGCCGCTTAGCTTAATTCCGAATTGGAAATTCAATTTGGAGCCCTACTAATGTAACTACATATGCATAAAAATTCATCCTTCCTCCGCGTTTCGCCATTTGGACCAACAAACGAGACATGCATAATGGTTATCATCAGGGGCGGATTTAAGGGGAGCCAATATATACTAATTTTGAGGAAGGCGCGTGCGCCAAAAAAGAAAGCGACCTTTTGGCGAAAGCTTTCCAAAAACTGCTCGAAAAGGGCATTTTTAGCAATTTCTCAAAGATTTTGCCTACGGCGCAGATTAGTTTTTGCGCAAAATAGGGTCTTTGTAGAGCTTTGGGAGAGGTCGGAAATTCAATTTGGTCGACTTATAAAAAACTCGATAAAAAATTTAGAAAATCTTAGATTCGCCCCTGGTTGTCATGACAAATTTACCGGAGTTCCGTTTGCTTCTGTTTTGGGCGGCAAGAAGGGTAAAAATTTTGCTAAATAATGCTTCACTAACTTTTTCTTGACTAACCTTAAACCTAAAAATGGAGCATGTCAGTAAAAAACATTCTAATTGAAATCGGGGAAAACGCAGGAAAATTAAATCTGTTAAAAAGTTTGTTTCATGCTTTCGAGTGAGCTACGAAAATCAAAACGACTTGAATTGTAAAATGTTTCTCATTCTTTTTCTCGTCATGTCGTTATTTCCATTAAAATATGTTAAAAATTGAAAAAATGGAGTAGTATAAAAAGTCAGGTCGAGGTCTTCGACTTGTCTTTTGATTAAAATCTTTCGACTTTCTCGATCAAAGGAAAATGTTGCTCGATTTTGCTCGGCCCAACTCAGATTTGTTTCGACCGGCTCGACCAAAATCCAGTAAGTGCTCGTCTTATGTTTCGACTGTGATCGACTTTTCTCCATTTTCCCGACTAGAAACGAGTTTCAATTTTGTTTCGACTTTGTTCTCGACTAAAAATAACTTCACGACCGCAAATTTTCAGTCGCAAAATTGAAAATCTAAGTATACCTCAAGGGTCTAGCTGTTTAAGATATATAGGACTCGCCTCCTTCTTGTTCTTTTTCGCACAATGAAAATTTAAATCGAATATAATTTGCTTAAATATTTTTTCAAAATCTTATTAATTTTACTCACGATTGTTCAGCAGCTGCTTAGATTGAGTGAAATGGATGGGCCAATTGCAAGTAAAAAATATAATTTTGATTACAATCTGCGTATTATTATTCTGATGGAGAAATAATTCCTATTAAAAATGATCAAAGAAAGGTCATCGCCTAGCAGGGCTGTGATCAGAAAATTAGAAATGAGAAATCTCTAATCAAATTTCACAAGCTTATTGAGATAAGAAACAATAAGACGGTGATCAATGTAATTTTTGAAGTTATTTTTACACAATGACCCCCCTAAAGGCTGCCTTGGAAAAAGATAAAAAGAAAGGGAAAATTGGGAAAAGGTATGAAGGGTGATTGGATTACAATTGTAAGCTGGGATTGGACAGCATTGAATCTTCTGCGGCCTAATGCAGGGGAGGACGACGGGGAAAAGGATTATTCATTAGCACAGCTCAGTTGACCGACTTTAAATTCAGCAGAAAAGGGTAGATTTTTCAACAAACCAATTTTTGAGCCCTTTTTAGTCCGTTCTGACCCGCAATCCAATTTTTTGGAGCTCGTAGCGTTACTTACAAAACTAAAAGTTTTATGAAGACCAGTGAAGCAAAACTTGCTCTATGAAAAAAGAGCTCAGTAAAATTGTAGTAATTGCATTCGCCAGAAAAAATACATAAAATTAACTTATAAGTGGCACAAAGTTTTATATCATTGAGCAATGACCTAAAAAGTTTTCATTCACCAAAGCATTTTTAATTTCGCCAAATTGAACAGTTAAATCAGGGGAACTAGAATTAAGGGGTATGGGAGACAGGAAAGAATAAGGAAATGGGGGGGGTGTTAATTCGCACAAGAATAGGAAGCCAAATTAAAGCAGCCAGTGACACTCCTCGACTAGAAATTGTTAGGGTGGAAGACAGCTCGCGGATATTTCGGCCGGTCTCATTAAGCCAACATGAAAAGGAAATGACGCTCTCAATTATGACTAGGATGACATTTTTCCACCAAATTTTTTTGAGCAAATTTGCAAGTCGAAATCTAATTATTTTGGGTTTTACAGTTTTCTTTAATAACTATCTAATAAAAAAAATTTGAAGACCAGTGGAGCAAAAAAAAAGTATTGAAAGCTTACCATAAGTCAGTGAAACCCCTTTTGACCATTAAGAAAAAACGTGCTACAAAATAAGATGAAATTTTTTGACTCTACCGATAGAGCAATCAAAAGTTTTTGACGACGGTGACGGGAGTCTTAAGACAATTTTGGGGGAAGTGCATGGTCACAAAGTTATACGAAAACCTTTAAAACCGCCAATGCCAAAACCGAAAGTTTATTAATCTATCCACCTACATATCCCCACCAGTAACACACACACACCCCCCCCCCCCCACCCCACCACCACCCCATCCCCCTACTCGCGAAAGTCTTAGATACGTACTATCTACAGTAGTTTCTTGATTGTGAACCAATTAATTTAGAAAAAAAATCATAAGAGGAAAATGATTGCAACTTTTATTGATTTTATGGACCAATTAGTACATCCGTTAAGATTTTCCCTATTTTTGATCACACTTCGTCACGGAGTACAGTGAGCGTCAATGATTAAAAGCTGGAGGCTCTTTTGACCAATTGCAAAAAGAATACGAACGCCTTGGGCCATTATGGGGAACAACTAACTACTTCTAGGATAATGGGGACCCAAATAGGGGATAACTATGATACCTCGCAAAGTGAAATCTTACAAAAATTCAATTCTGATCAGTCGCAGCTCAGTCTCATTCAGAGTTTAATCACACGTTGAGGGAAGGACCAACTCCCCCTCTCGCAACGTGGTGTAACTTCAATTAGATTGCCCGAAGAAAAACCCGGGGCGATTTAACAGAACAGATTTGAACTTTCAATTCGATTCCCCCGAAAATAACCTCAATTAGGACCGAATCTTATTGGTGGAAGCTTTTTCTTATCACTGTCGCAAATTGATTAAAAGCTCTTGGGGATTTCCTCATCAATTATAATGGAGGGGATACGAAATGAGGGCAAAATTGGGAACAGGAAAAAGTAAGAGAGGCAGAAGAAAAGGCCGAAGTAATGAAGTGAAATGAGTCTTTATCGAGCATCCCCTAAATGGCGATTTAAGACCCAAAATTGACGTTTAAAAGCCTTTTAACTCTACTAATGATGTAAGATTCGGTCAAACGCGCTCAGCAGCATTTTTAAAAGAATAACAAAAATCAGGCTCTGATCATGCGATGTCATTATAATTGAATTGTCTTTACACCAATACCGCCCTTTAATGAAGTTAGCCTTATCAACCACAAGAATTTGCGATTCAAAACAAAAAAAAATCATTTTTATTGCGATAATGATCATGTATTAGAAAGATAAAAGGCCGAACTGCAAAATTATAAATTCTGAACTGAGTTTTTTGATGATATTTTCATTTCCATTATTGAACTTATAAGCTTTAATGGTCTTAATGGTTTTTGTCATCAAAACAAACTGAAAAAACTTGATAAGAAACTACGAGATGACTTCTCATCAGCAACGCTTTTTGATTTTTTTTGCAAAACACATAAGGCAGGAAAAGCACTTGAACACCAGCAGAATGAAACATAAAAATATCGAAAGACTATATAAAAAGTTACAGGGATTCTTAGCATATTTTCTGTCCCTGGGACTCGTTCAAAAATCCTAATTGAAGTAATTTTTGAGCCGCATGGTTTTACTGTTTTTGTGCTGAGCCTCAAAAATTTGAACAAGACTCCTGAGTTTTGACAATTTTTTAAAGTACCTGAAATAGTTTTTGAAAACAATACATTAAAAAAACGAACTTTTCATTTATGTTAGTCCCCCACAAGCCATATCAAGTAGAAATTGAAATGTTTTTTTTTTCATCTTATGTTATTTGGACCAATAAGCTTGCCTCAATCAATTCACTGATACTTTATGGGCCGGATTGCCTTAGTGCTGATGCTACACGTTAGAAGAAACTTCCGAATAGCACTCACTAATTATACCATTTGGGCAAAGCTGAAACCACATAAAGTTGATAAATTGGTCGCAAGGATTCGACCCACAGCCGACCCAAAGGATCCCCTCTTTCTACTAATTTGAGACATGGATTTTTGGCCTACTGACCTTAAATATTTTTTGAACGCAATTTTTTTTGGTCGAAATTTTCCAGAATGTGCATAAAGACGCCATTTTTGTTCTGTTTTTTCAAAAATTCGCCTGCGGCGTAGAAAATTTTATCAAATGAGGGTCTTTATATGTAATTTCAATTTTACGCACATAAAACCTACGCTTTTCCGATTGTATTGTATTATAAAAATTATATCATAATATGCAAACTAAAAAACCGAGAAAAAAACAACCAGAGCCCAAATATCGGTCTTTTTTTAAAAAAAAATCGAAAGGAGAAGATAACAAATTTTAGTAAAAAGTCACGTTTTTTAAAAACTTTGGGCCAAGTGTTAACAAATACTTTGATTAGATTACAAAAACAGTAGTCAAAAACAAATATGTTCATTGTGTTCATTTAAAAAAAACAGAATTAAGAAACGAAAAATCCGAAAAGAATTCTAAACTAACTGCTACTTTTCTAATGATAAAGAAATTAAAACATCCTTATTACAAGTATCAATTATTGTTCCGACCATTTGAAGAATGGAAAGGAACTTTGTATTCCGGTGTAATTTAGTTTTTTCTTTTTTACTTTTGCTTTCCACCCAAAATCAGCTAACACAAATCATCGTCGGAGAGAGATGAGTGATATATTATATGAATCTTTTACAGTCCATTACGAAAAAAAAAATCTCGAAAAATTTTCCCAGTGTCGTGAAAAACTTTCCCAGTGTCGGTTGAAATTTTTGGTTTTTCATCTTAACTCGAGCAGATAAAGCGAGCAAGCAGGCTTAAAATAGCTTAATTTAATACGTGAAAATTTAGTTTTACTCATTTAACAAACTTTTTTTTGAGTATTTTAGCGCTTTTTGGAATTAAAAAGTTCAAAGATTCAAAAACTGAAAAAAAAATTTGATTTTTTCTAAATATATATTTTTTTGTTTGATTTTAGGTTTTTCTAGTCATTTTTCTACAAAATTTTTTTTTTTCAGTTTGCTTGCTCTTCTATGACAGTCGGTTATGCGTGACTTCTAGTTTTTTGTTCAGCTCCTTTTATCACACCGCGCCACAGTTGGCAACAATTGTCCTGAAAAAAAAAGAAAAAATGAAAAATCATAAAAATTTCAATTTTTTTTTTCCAATTTTTTGCAGACTTTTTTTGAATTTATAGAAAATTTTTCCAATGTTCCTAGATTTTCTCAGTAGTGAGAAAATCAAGTCATTTACAATATTTCAAATGAAGCTGCTATTTTATTCGCTTGCGCATAATTAGAATTTAGGATGAAGCGGTTTATGTATCTTAGCTTTCTAAATAGAGCGCAAAAAAACGCATTTTCGGCTTGCATTTTCAAACAACTTCGTTCGGCGCAGTAAATTTCGCATATCAGCTCAATTAAAATTTTGTAAATGTTTTGAGAATCTCTCATCCTCTACTCTCTAAAAAGATAGTTAGTTGAAGCTCAAAGCCATCCCAGATGCTAGTTTGAGCAAAATGAACAAAAGAACTCAACAAAAACTAGACTCAACAGAAGACTCAGAAAAAATAAGTTGCTGTTGAGAAAAACTGTCTGAACGTTTGTTCGGTTCGTTTTTTAGTTTGATGCCCTTCAATTACATGTTTTGATGAAAAATTATAAAAAATGAGCCTTACATGGTTTATTTATCTTTTTCTTCTTGGTTTTTGAGCGCAGTGATTTTTTGAAAAAAAAATTAGTTTGGAATTTTGAAAAAAACTGGACCATTTTTGTGAAGTGCGAAGAAAATATCATCATGAACATACATTGATGAGATGGAGAGATTCGCTGTAATGGCTCTTTTTCCGTCCCCCCCAATCCCATCACCCGC